AACCTAGCAATTGCAATACATACAGGCTTTTCCCTCGAACCATTGCTCTGATACCATAAATGTAACACCCCGTATATATCCGGTAATGTTATCATAATATCGTATTAAGCTGCGCTTAATTAAAATGCGGAATTACTTTTTCTTTTCAATTATGATGCCATTAACATTACCAACTTGCTTAATAATCAATTTATTAAAACATCGCCTGTATGTAATTGCAATAAAATAGCTAACTGAAATACCTCATAACATAGATGATATAAGTGTGGCTCTAGTCACGGAACTACAACAACGTAGACCGGACCATCTAACAGTTTATACAACTCCAAACTAAAAGTACTAACAGAAAGTGTCATGGACAATCCCCATGCTCACTCAAATAAGGCAACATGCCCAACATCAGTCTCAACAACAACATATCATAAATAGCGGAAAACATAAACAGCATCCATAATCCAGTCATGCTAATATAAAGCAGTAAAACATAATCAGCTAAGCTCCGGCCTCCTGCCGCCTGAGGCATCAGTACCCATACTACCTGATCCTGAAATAAGCATTCCCCAAACGTGGGGTAAGATCTCTAATCTAGAAATCTCAGTAAGTCAGTGAGTCCTAAAGGATCTTTCACCCCAAGCTCACTTACATGTGCAATATAAGTTCAAAAGCAATTTATCATTTATCATTTCTAAAACAATGCAATGCAGCAGATAATCATGCCATGTGTGTCAATACTAATCTACTGGCCAGAGACAGTGCAGGTATACGTCTATCACCTACACACCGTGCAAGTACCACTTGCATTCACCCCGGTACACCGTCTTGTATGGCGCTACATACTCAGGCTTCTCGTCAAGATGAAACAACACATGCATATTAAAAGCCATTACATGTAAAGTTCAATCAACATATCAATTATTCAAAAGCATGTACACAACATGCATAAACCATACCCCCATGGGACATGGTGGAACCACAACATGGCTAAACCGAGGACACGAAAGCTTACCTTGCAAGCGAACTCCAAAAGCCAAGAGTCCACAGCTCAAAGTCCAAACACAGCAGATTCGCTATCTGTTATGGACCAACAATACATCAACAACATGCACCACAAGCATACAATATTAAGACTACGCCTTTTCATTACGTTTTCAAGTCTTAAAGCTTCTAACAAAGCCACAAGCCCTTAATCCCATGATTCTGGCTTAATCCATTAAATACGGAAGTTCAACTTCATCAAACTAAGGTCCACAAACCCCCAATAGCCTACTGTACACACAGCACAGCTGCTGTTCTGCAAAATCCCAGAATATCCAGATATCTCACTGTCCATATCCGGATATGCAATATCCGGATATACAGATTCACATATCCGGATATCCCAAAACCACGTATCCGGATATCCAATATCCGAATATCAGTTCGACAAATATCCGGATATCTCACGACAGAATGCAGTTTCTGCATTTTCGTGAAGATATCCTTAAAAGGTTCCCTTTTTACCGATTTTAAACACCTAATCATGCATTTCTAGATGTGTTAAGCCTCACCCAACAACAAGTTATCATCTTTTAACCTTAACATGCATCAAGCTTTCATTTTTAAGCATTAAACTCATGATTAAAGGTTGAAGATCATACCACAAGCTTAAACAGCAAGAATGACCCAAAGAGCTCACCAACAACCCTTCCAAGTACTGTTTCTACAGGTACACGAAAATGGACCAACAAGATGAGTCATTTCCTCACCAAGGAAGCTACTTGGAGCTCAAAACCACTAAGAACAAGATGAATCTCCTCCAAACTCTCCAACTCAGAACCAGAACCTCTCAATAAACTCAGAAAGATGACTCTTTTCTGCTCACAAGACTCACACTCAGGTATTTCCCATTCACCCAAGGTGTTTTGGTGAGGAAACTAGAGGAAAATGTGGCAACTTGGTTGAGTTTCCGAGGAAACAAGGCAAGGCATGAAGGAGGCTAGTCAGCAGCTCCAAGGCACCAACTTTCACGTTCAAATGGCTGAGTATCAGCCTAGGTTAGTGTGCAAAAGTTGTATTTATAGTCCATGCCACTTAAACACACAGTGTTAACTTTAATTGCTACGCTTAGCATTTTAATCCCAAACTTTGGATTCTGAAACTACATAATTTTCTAAGATTTATCATATTTTTCTTATAATTTCCTGAGCACTTTTCCGGTACGCGCTTTTCCAAGCCAGTACCGGTTTCCAGCACCGGTTCTCATTATCTGGACTTGAAACTCGTTTTACAAGTCCTACATATTATTCTAGTAATTATCATGCACTTACATTAATTTTACGGGATACTTTTTCGGCACGCATTTATACCGACTAGCAGAACCGGTATCTGCACTTTTCTTCCGAAAAACGACTTTCAGCATTCTTAATCACTTACTACGATTATTAAGCCTCATAAATAATTATTAGGATCAATTATGGAATCATTTCCTATTTTCTCGTAATTTATTAATTAAATTCCTTAATTAACGGTGCGGGTTCTTACAAGCAGCGTGGACCCCTTCCACCCTACAAAACACATGCATAGATTAGTACATTTTAAAAACATGGACCGCAAACCAATAGTAATATCAAAAACAAAACAAAAACAAATACCTTTTCATCTAACAGAATCATCTCTACGTTGTCGTCAAAATTATTTTGCTGAAAATTAGGAACCTTCCATGTTCTAACAACTCTAGCCTTAATCCTCCACTCTTCCTTAGAAGAATTAAGATCCTTAATAAAATCATACTTGGAATACATAACCAAACGTATATCAGGTAATATTGGCTCAAAGCCTTTGAGGACAAAGAAAAGAACGAAATAGAGACGCTTCCAAATACCTATTTATACACGAATATGCACTATTCGATTTAAAAATGGTCATTTAATTATTCGATTTAAAAAATTAAAATTAGATTTTTAAAAGAAATTTTTTTCCCACCATCCATATTTAAATTCAAAATTTTAAACCATTTCAAATTTCGAATTTTAGATCAGATGACGCATTCCAACATAAAAAGCAATTAAATCAGCTGATTTCTTTTTGGATACCAATGTGATGGGCAGTGGGACATTCAATGTCTTGTCAGCCACCACAAATGGTCATTTAATTATTCGATTTAAAGATTAAAATTCGTTTTTTAAAAGAATTTCTTTTCCCACCATCCATACTTAAATTCAAAATTTTAAACCATTTCAAATTTCGAATTTCAGATCAGACGACCAATTTCAACATAAAAAGCAATCAAAACACTTGATTATCCAATTAAAATTTTGAATTTCAAAACCATATTTATTAATTAATTATTCTTTTATGTCTTCCACCACAAACGGTCATTTAATTATTCCATTACAAAAATCGATTTTTAAAAGAAATTCTTTTCCCACCATCCATATTTAAATTCAAAATTTTAAACCATTTCAAATTTCGAATTTCAGATCAGACGACCAATTCCAACATAAAAAGCAATTAAAACACCTGATTATCTAATTTATTTTGTCTGTCAGCTCTCTTGATTCTTGATTGTTATGATATTTGAATCAATTATATAACAAAGATAATGTCTTTGTTATATCATTATTGTGTATGTATTTTTAAAAAAATAACCATAACGAAATTGTGAATTGAATGACGATCAGGTCTTCAACAATTGTGAAATTTGTTTTTGTTTCTGTTGATCTCCATGAATAGAGATCGTGAATGCATGTCCGTGAAAAGAGTTTTCTTTTTATTGAATTTAAAATTTCGAATTTCAGATTGTGCAAAATAAATACATAATTTTGAAATTTAATTGATAAACCATTTAAAAATTTCAAAAATTCAATTTTTAAAAGAATATTGGTATGATAGTTTATCTGATAGAGTTTTCTTTTTATTGAATTTAAAATTTCGAATTTCAGATTGTGCAAAATAAATACATAATTTCAAAATTTAATTGATAAACCATTTAAAATTTCGAAAATTCAATTTTTAAAAGAATATTGGTATGATAGTTTATCTGATATGATAGTTTTAGTTTTAGGATTTAATTTATTTTGTCTGTCAGCTCTCTTGATTCTTGATTGTTATGATATTTGAATCAAATATATAACAAAGATAATGTCTATATAACAAAGATAATGTCTTTGTTATATCATTATTGTATATATTTTTTTTTAAAAATAACCATAACGAAATTGTGAATTGAATGACGATCAGGTCTTCAACAATTGTGAATTTTGTTTTTGTTTCTATTGATCTCCATGAATAGAGATCGTGAATGCATGTCCGAGAAAAGAGTTTTTTTTTTTTATTGAATTTAAAATTTTGAATTTCAGATTGAGCAAAATAAATACATAATTTCGAAATTTAATTGATAAACCATTTAAAATTTCGAATTTCAGATGAGATGACCAATTCCGACATAAAAAGCAATTAAAACAGCTGATTTTTTTTTGGATACCAATGTGATGGGCAGTGGTACATTCAATACCTTGTCTACAACTATTATTCGATTTAAAAATTAAAATTCAATTTTAAAAAGAGTTCTTTTTTTTCAATTTACCCAATAAAGAAAGTTTGTATATAACCAAATTGTAGAATTAACCAGGGAGTGACACTTGACAAAACTTTCCAGCAGTGAACTCTCCTTTATATATATATATATATAGATAGATAGATAGATAGATGTGAGTGTAGAAAAATATTTCTCTCTTGTGCAACTTGATAGAAATATTATCCATTGTAAATTGGCATAATCATTTTTGAGTTATATTTTTAATTTTAACGGCTTATTGTATTTATATTTAATAACGCGTGACAATTAGATGCAAGCTCCCCAAAATTGATGCATAATCATCTCATTTGTGTTACATTTTAAGCTTGTGTCTCCCGACTCCCATTAGTATTACTGCTAGAAAATATTAATTTGATCGGCCAAAGAAAAAAAATCCAAACAAACTCAGGCATTGATCCTTTAAGCTGCTGCTGCAGCAGCTATAATGGAGGCTGACGGGAATAACAATGGTGGCGCTCACAACAATTTATGGAATCTTACACCGGTGGCGGCACACCAATCCGGCAAAGGCTTGCCTTATGCGCCGGAGAATTGGCCTAATTCCGGCGATGTTTGGGGGTGGAGAACAGGTAAGAGAGTTGCTGCGATTGGCCATTTTCTAGACCGGTACCTGTATCCTCCAACTCGTCTTTGTGACGCCGCCAAACTGAGTCCCAAGCAGCGTGGCATCGCTAGCAAGCTTTCGCTTGAACGCTACATCAAAGAATTCTTCCCTCACGTTCACCTCAATGATTTCTTCTCATTATTCAGTTGGAAGATCCCTTCTCTGCACCATGGTATGTTTCTCGGCTCTGTTCTATTTTTATTTCTCTCTCTCAATTTTTCTTGATTTATTTTTATGTGAATGTAAGTTTTTCAGTTTTTTTTTCTTCTTCTGAGTTTTGTCTTTTGCAGGGTTTTTTTGACCCATCTAGGTCGAATTTAGGGATATTTTATAGGTTTAATTCTTTCAGTAAACAATGTATCAATCTAATGTTAAAAGACACATCCTATTGGTGCGTGTTTCCCATGCAAGTTCAAGTCAAGTCACCCACTTCTCCTGAGCTTCTTGCATTTCGCGTTAATTTGGTAAATTGTTTGTCAAAATAATTAAATTATGAAATTGAATTGCATGCTATATAGTAAGGCACATGTCAACTTGCTTTAATTCTGGTCTACTGCATAGTGAAACACTAGTCTCCGTGTAGGAATTTTTAAGACCCTTTCTTCTTGTTGCTTCTGTTTTGTAAATTCCCTCCTACCTGTTGTGATGTTTTTCTGCGTCTTAAGATGATCAATGTGCTCAATTACTACCAAGTTTGTTAATTGTTATGCATTGCAGGCAATGCAAAGACTATTGCTTCTGTACCTCTTCCACAGTTTGCATTAGCAAAACAGTCAGAATCTGATTTCCCATCTTACATTGTTGGATGTAAAGCTAGGAATCCAATGTGCAGCGGTCTAATTTTGGAGGAACAAGAAGAAGAAAAATATTCACCAGCCATGCCTTGTGATATCTGTTGTACTGAACCTGGTTTTTGTCGTGATTGTTGCTGCATTCTTTGTAGCAAAATCGTTAATTCAGCTTATGGTGGCTATAATTACATCAAGTGTCAAGTAAAGATTGGCGACAATATATGTGGGCATGTTACTCATATAGAATGCGCTCTTCGATGTCGCATGGCTGGCACAGTTGGAGGAAGTATTGGATTGGATGCTGAGTACTATTGCCGACGCTGTGATGGGAGGACTGATCTGATTTCTCATGTTGATAAACTTCTGCAAACATGTGAAGCCATTGATATGGAGAGTGATCTTGAGGAAAAGATTTTAAATCTTTGTTTTTCTCTACTGTGTGGTTCACAGAAAGCCATTGCAAAGGAGCTTCTGAGTCATATTGAATTGGCCATCTCAAAGGTATGGTTCAATGAAATTCTTATGGTAGAAATAATAGCTTCATTGCTTTTCCTCTCTTACACTTTGAAATGCAGCAGTATGACGAATTTGGTATTTACTTCAGGTTAAATGTGAGACTAATGCTGAAGATATCTCGAATGTGGATGACAATCTTATAGCTCATTTTGCAGGTAAATATCCTGTATTACATAGTAGTCAGATTACTTACTACCTTTCACTGCTACCTTCAACAGTTAACTAATTTGGGATGAAGATGTTGTTGATGTTGAATCTAATAATTTCGAAAAGAATCTAGATGTTGTAAATTCAGATGTGGCACATTTGTTTTAGTATTGAATATTTTATGTTCATCAACAGGCTTCTCAGATAATGACAGTGATGCGATGGATGTAACAGACAATGAAAGCCCTTCAGATGTTGGAATAGGGGCAGAATCTTCTGGTTTTATGTCTGATTCATTAAAACTTGAGGCTGAGATTGATGAGGTACTCCAGGCTCTTAGAAAGTCACAGGAGTTTGAATATAACATGGCAGCAGAAAGACTCAATGCACATAAGAATTATTTACAAAATTTGTACCAACAACTGGACAGAGAGAAGTCTGAAGAAGCACGTCTACACCGCTCATCTCGATCTCGTTCAGCCTTGGTTCACGCTGTTGCAGAAAGAAAGGAACAAATAAGGCTGGAAGTCATAAAATTTGAAGATATGAAGAAGGTAGCCAATGGTTTTGGCAGCACATCCAAAGATATCTTAAAGGAACGTTTTGGCCTATAAATTGCAGATTAAATTGATAAAGTTTCTGAAGATATGACAAATTTTTTTAGTAGCTTTCCCAACTTTGGGGTTGAACTGCATTCATTAAACCATCAAACTGAATATTTTTTTTCTCCCCTCAAACATAATCATGTTGCATTTGACTGAGGGATTGGAGGCAAGAGCTGTCACACAAGATATCTGCTGTGTTGACATAACTTCTAAGGTCAAGTTTAAAGCATGAAGTACTATTTTCTACATACTATTTTCTACATATTACTTTCTTGAGCTTTGGAAAACAACAGAATTTTCAAGTATGGCGTTAGATATAACAACGGGCTCTCCCTTATGCGTGTCTTGTTGGTCATGGGATGTAATATGTTGATAATGGAATATTATACACTAAACATGAAAATGGATTAAATATTAGGAAGTTAATATGTAATTTACTGTTCTTTATTGTTTTCATTTTTCCTCTTTCCCATAAAAATAAAGATTAGAGACTCTGCATTACCTTGTGTGGAAGCTTATGAAGAGTTAATAGTACATCAAAAACCACATTCGAAAAATTTTGTTCCCCAAGATAAACAGTGTGGGCTACTTTAAGACTCAATGTTGTGAATCTAAAGCCTATTGAGTAATAATTAATGTATGCTCACAAGAACAACGTGCTATAAAAGCAATGAACATTATTGCACGTATCTAACCAAATTAGCATGCTCCAAAAAACTTGATCCGCAGCTTTGACGACTCCTGATGGTACATAAATGCAGAAAGTGAAGTTAACATTATCCTCAAAATAATAAGTCTCAATTCACTTCCATAAGAAGGCTAGTCACTATACAAACAGAATATATGTAGCTTAGGACCATATATACATTTAGCAGTGTGGAAAGTATTCTCTTTACGTTTTAAGGACTTAAATTTTTATTTCCATCATCTCTAACCTCTATCTGTTCAACAAAAATACATCAGCTAGCCAAGTGGTGGCATCACTATGGTTAGTATCCAGTCACGGTGGGAAGGAACCCTCACTGTCCCAAATCCAAATCAACGACGCCAACATCTTTCTTCAAGAACTCAATGATCTCTCCCTCCTCATTATTTAATGCCACACAGTCATTCTTCTCGATGGCCCAACCGGTCGGCCAATTAAGGTAGGCACAAATCTCTCCCACTCACCCATGTCAGCCCTGCTGACCAAGGATACCAACCCTCCACCCTTTTTGTCCTTATAGGACAATGTTTTCCGGGCGAGATACCAAAACGTCTTGTCTTGAGATACTACTTTTTCCAAACAATTTCAACAGATCTCCTAAATAGAAGTTCCCCTTCCACAACTACAACAGCAGCAGTGACGGCCACCAACATAACAGGGGCTACGATGCTGCCACAGCACCGGTAACAACCTCAAAGTATGGAATTTTATATAAAAATTACAACCCATAGAAAAAACATACGAAATATTAAAAAATTAAACAAATGTTTTTTATTTAATTTTTACTTTTTTATACACAACAACAAATGAAAGTTGTGCGTTATTATGCTTAACAAAACTTATTCTATCTTGATCGGAACTTTAGTAAAAAGAGCTCACACGAAACCCCAACTTACATGTAGTTTTATCATTTAATTTTTGCAAAGAGATTATTTTTTAAATTTAGAACTGTGATCTTAGTATAAAAACAAATAAAAATAGTTTGACATTGCTTTATGTAACGCCCGGCCACTTGTAAGAATCAACGAGTATCCCCACATACTAACACGAGACTTTTCAGTGTGCTTTTTTCTCACTCGCACACTTCCTGGAACTTCCAGGAAGTGTGCGAGTGAGGAAAAAACACACTGAAAAGTCTCGTGTTAGTATGTGGGGATACTCGTTGATTCTTACAAGTGACCGGGCGTTACAAGTGGTATCAGAGCAGGCCTCTCATCTCATCCAGTACGGTGTGGTTCGAGGACGAACCAGGCGGAAGCTGGTGGGCATGTAACATCCCGAACGCTGACGAGGGCAGGGAGTGATCGCCGGTGCGAAAGGGCATGGACAAGAAGCGGCTCCTGACAGGCTTCCAGCGGGGGTTACATGCATGAATGAATCGAATCGACACCCGAAAGAGAGGGATTCCAATGACTGTGCAAGTGTGAGACTGCACAGTTTGGGAATAGCTTATAAGAATTAATTGGTATTATCTATACTAACAAGATGCATCTGCTTTTCGGTAGCCCAGAACGGAAGAACTCCACAGTTAAGCGTGCTTGACTTGGAGCAATTCTAGGATGAGGGGTGACCTCCTGGGAAGTTTTCCCAGGAAGTGTGCGAGTGAGGAAAAAGCACACTGAAAAGTCTCGTGTTAGTATGTGGGGATAGTCGTTGATTCTTACAAGTGGTCGGATGTTACACTTTAGGTTCATCCTCTCTAGAACCGACGGTAGTGATATAGAATATGGGTTTTATAAGAGTTATGTTATAGGAAAAATGATTGTGTAATGTTATAGAGATTCGTTTTGCGTGCCAATGTTTTTTTTTCTTCAAAAAGTGTGGGCCCCACAAAATGTTGTGTGTGTAAGAAACTTTGTTGTGTCATGTTAAATGACAAATGCAAACCCCATAGAATATTACCTCATAACAACAAGGAATTCAATTTTCCACGGAATACTCGCACTCCTTTCCCCATCTTTTTTCTTGACACGAAAAAAAAAAATAAAAAAAAATCTTATGAAGCAACTTGCCGGTTAAGAAAGGTATTATTTATTGGAAGTTTGGAATTAGGAAGAGAAATTTGGGCATTAAGGATTTGAAAATTGAAAAAATTTCCTTTGTTTTTTTTCTGTACATAAATTTGTCCAAATTATGTAAGACATTCTAAGTCACTTGTCTTCTGTTAGCAATCATGACCTTCGAAAAATTCTTATGCCTTGTATTACTGTTATCCAGGAGTAAAAATAGAAATATGATTAGAAAAATATTTTAGTCCATTGGATAAAGTTTGGTAATAAATAGAGATGACTAGATATACAAACATTTACCCAGTTGAATTTCACTTAATCTATATAAGTGAAAAATGTCAAAAACTTCCTATTTTTTTTCGTCTTCCGCAGATGGACACAGATCAAAAAAAAAAAAAAATTGAGTGAAAATCTTTCAAAATTCGTAGAGAAAACTAGAGACTTCCAAATTATTTCGTTCCAAAGCCAAACTTGTGAGAAATTTCGAGAGGAACACATTGGTACCCATATTTTCATGTGGGGTTCATTGTAGAGAGAGTTCTACCTCCCCTAAAATTTCGGGTTTATGAAAAATCGGGGTTTTGATGGAGCTTGAGACCATGAGAGTTTGAAGTAAGCTTTCACCTTCATTCTTGGGTACATTGTGAGTTGATCCCAGCATTGTTTTGAGCAATTTCCACGGATTGGAATCTACTTCCGCTTGAGTTGGAGATTAGTGGATTTTTCACATTGAGTATGTGATCGTAGTTCGGATTCTTCGGACATGAGGTTTATTGGAAGACACTGTTTGCGAGGTACAAGAGTTGATGGTGCTGAGACATCGCGTGACAAGAGGCCAAAGGAGAGATACTATCTAACATGATAGTATGATTTGATTGATATGCTGATATGTATTTGACAGCGTCCTGTTTTGGATATATATATATATATATATATATATATATATATATATATATATATATATATATATATATATATATATATATACCATTTTATTTTTTTTTAGAGCACAGAAGATGTCTATGCGATGTTGATAATTAATCTATTTTGTTAATTATGTCTGCATATGTCTAGTCACTTATTTAACTACATCTCTTTTGGTTGGTTGATGTAATCATATAAGTAACTCTATGGATATTATTTTGAGACCTGTTATATATGGGATAGCCTATGTCATGGATGGCTGAGTAATATGGTTTATGCCTGGATTATATTAAACTGTCCATCAGGTTGAAATTATCATCGTGAAATTTTTTCCCAATGATCCAAAATATAGATGAAATGCTGTCTATTTTATTTTGACCATGGAAGTGAAAAAGTTTACAATATATAAGAAAAAAAATAAAATTTATTCAATTAGCTTCTGCATTTAATAAGTTAAAATGTGTTGTCCTTACTATAATGTGAATTTTAATTAACCAGCCGCAGAGAAGATCCCACAACTATAGCCCCGAATCGGCTCAAATGGCAGCATAAAAAAAAAAAAAAAAAAATCTGCCCTTTCTGAGGTTACGCAAGAGTGTTTTACAGATTTATTCCCACCTTATCTTCTTCATATAGAAATTGAAATTTGATGCAAAGCAGGCAAAAGTTCTGATTCTCTCGATTGGTCCAATGGCTAATGTTAGGGAAATATAAATTTGAGGTTACCCTTGCATTGAGTATATTTCAGATTTAGGAAAGAAAAAAAAAAAACAAGAAGAACCGAGCAAGAAAAGGAAATGGTATTTGAAGACAAAATAAAAATAAATTATTTATTTTTTATAAATATATCCTTCCGTTATGGTAATTGCTAGATGACTTAACGATTTGATTTTTCTCTCTCAAATCGCATTATCCTTAAATTTCAGAAAAATGAAAATAGTGAGTATAAGAAAATTTTGAAGAATTAGTTGAAAACCTTTATCTTAACAAACCTTTTCATCCCTCCCTTATCTCAATCTGGAATGGGTAGATAAAATTAGCAATATAAAAGATTAATAATTGCAATTTACTTAACTCCTGGACAAGGTTTACAAGACAACCGCAGATCATTTCATGCAAAATAGTTACTCACTCACCGTACTGTGCCTGTTCTATTACCCTCCCCAGATGGCTTTTGAGTTTTTACTCCATCATTAGTTCAAAATTTTGATAACAATTTTCATCAATCGATAGAAGAAATCGAATTCTTTTAAAATTTAATAACATATTATAAAAAGGCTTTAATAGCTCTCATTGTGGCTGCAGATCAGAAAATTTGCAGTAACATTTACTTTCATCAGGATCCAGTTTCGGATCTTAAAATTTTTATTTTTTTTGAATTTCAAGATCCGGCTCTGTATCTTATGTAAATATATTTGCTGCAAGTTTTTTCATCAACAATGACAGCAGAAATGAAGAACCCTTATAAAAATTCATCGAAGAAACAAAAAATAGTATAGTAATCTATTACCGTTAATTTCCGTCAATCAACGGTTATTATCTATTATAAATTAATAATTAATTAATGAATTTAATTTGCAAAAATAATAACAATTCATTGGCAAAGATCAACGATTAAAATAATTATAAGAAGTTGTAAACGAAAATAGTTTACAAATATAATTTTCCAGTTATTGATGAACTACAACACGAGGTGTATAAGCAAACTCTGGCCAAGCATATATTTTGAGTTTGCCCAGGGAGGACATAGCCGATGCAAGAAGCAAATCACTGAGAGAATCTTGCACTAGTCACTCCATTCAGAGAGAAGACAATCATCCCCACTGAATTTTGTTGAGGGAAGAAAAAAAGAAAAAAGAAAAGAGAAGAAGAAAACACTCTTCGCTAGTATGATGCCCGGATACACTTTATTTCACAAAGATGTCTCAAACGTCATGCAAAGAATTATGCTTAATGCTTTTGACCAAAATGAAGCAACCCAATTTTGAGGTACCTCTTGATACGTGAACTAAGTACTAACTATTTTATGAGCAGGTGGACTAGAGCAACCCAAATTTAGGAGTCAGAAAAGCAACAAAATTTCCTCCATCCTTTTCTTTCTCTATTTCCCGTCTTACGAGGTGATCATTTATATGTTTGGCATACCTCCATCAAATATTAAATCAGTGTTTTGCTAAAATTGAAGAAACAATCATTTTGGTCAAAGGTTGATTTGATATCATTTTAGTTTCTCATAAATAGGTAATATTAATATAGTTCCTTAGCCTATGTTTGAGATTATGGAAATGGAGTGGAATGAAATAGAATCAAATTAGTTGCTATATTGTTTGAATTGTTTAAAATGGTTAAAATGGAATGCAAGACGATAGAATTCCATTTCATCCAATACATGCATTTTCCTTCCTCTAATTTGAGGAGCATGGGGTGGAACCAACATATTCACTAATCTTCTTTAACTTCAGTGATCAGTCCACTTCCCAAATAATGGAATAGAAACTTACTCCATTCCACTATAAAATATCCAATCCAAAAATGATATGATAATTTTATTCAATTCCACCCATCATTAAATATTCAAACATTGCCATGATCATGGAAAGTGACGTCAAGATAATTATTTATTGCATAAACAGCATGGTTGAGAAACGAAATAACTGTCATTTATCATTATTAAAGGATTGAATTGATGTCAATTTTCTATGATTGAAGAACTAAATGCCATATTTCTATTAGGGCAAATTACATAAAACCTCCTCTCAATTGAACCAATTAACCCCCTTCCGCTTTAACATTAAATCAATTAAACATATTCAATAATTTCAAGACAAAAATGCCCATACCTTCACTCCATTACTATACCCATGACGACCAATATCGCTCCCCATCTGGCACTGCAAATAGAAAATAAGCAGAAAACACACTCCAAATATGTAGCTTTTTGCATTCAATGTAGTCATTCTTCACCTTGAACAACCAATACCCTGATGCTTCAAATCAGATCTTGTCTACACAACACCCTTGATCTACAATAGCCGCAGTTGTTCCTTTCTCATTTTACCTACAAGTAGCTATGCCACCTGCACATTACCTAGAATCACCATTCCTTATTTCCCATTATAGTCAAATGTTAGAACTCTTATGCAAATATAAACATAGTTGCTTAAAGCTGACCCATCACACCTCATCATTGTAGATGCTACAAATCCAGCCATCACCCTCAGTCCATGACCCGTCACCCACAACCACCTCATCAGCTTTCTCAACATAAATCAATGTCAGAAGCAAAGCTTCCCTCCCCTGTTTGAATTGAATTCTGAGCTGAAAGTAAAAATTTCTTTCACCTTATGCCATGGCCTGGACTACAATAAATGTTTATGATCCAGATTCGTGAAGAAAATTTTATTATTGAGAGGCACCTAAAATTGAACATATTCGTGTGAAATATTTGAAGCTCACTGTTATTTTATTTTATTTCTCTTTCGTTTTGCTCTTGAGTGCATCTGCATATATTATAGAACCAACCATGCCAAAATCCTTTGGATTCATTTTGAAGGGATAAATAAGGGGTGAGTCTTTGTATCCGATTATATTTTTTTTTAAGGACTATCAATTTTTGTTTCGTTTAGTTTTTATTGTGCGTCATTTGCGGGAGGCAGCCGCGAGAGGCATCGTGGTTGAAGGTAGGGGTATTTTGTCTTAAAGTTATAAAATATGTTTACTTGATCTAATGTTGAAGTATAAGGGGGTTAATTGGTTCAATTGAGAGTATCGGGTGGCTTTTTGAACAGAAATATAAGTTGGAGGAGGTTTTATGTAATTTACCCTTTCTATTATTCAGATTTCAGAGACTAAAATGTTGTCACCTTCTATTTTTCAGAGACTAAATTAATGTTAATATAAACTTTCAGAGAGCATAATGGTAGTTAACTCACTAAAATTTGTGCAACTTAAAGCCAAAAAGGCATTCAATCCCCAGAAATGGAGTTAACTAAGCTCACAATCAGAGTAACCAAATTGATATCTACCAAGAAGCAGATATGTACTAATTGATAATCAAAAAGTACAGGCACATATTGAATGGAATTCTGCAGATAGCAAAAAGTGAAAAAAATCAGTTATAACTAATAAATTGCCATTGCCATGAATATAGACCATTCTTAATATGTGAAAAAAGAACATCTTTTTTTTTTTTTTTTTCTATTTCTTTTCCTGATTCAACGATAGCAACAATCAAATTCATAAAGAAACTAGTTCCAACAACATGAAATCTAACTCACATACTAAGGCCATATTTTGAAGGCAACAAGATGTTAACAAAAGAATCATCGAAATCATCATCATCACTGTACAAGCACAAGTCTACCTCCCATACCTCTATCACCATCCCCATCCTCCCTCCGTTCTTCATCGTGGCCCTTGGGCACCGTGACGATGAGTTCACCGTCGGCAAATACCGCACTGGCGAGCTCCGGCCGCGTCGATTCTGGCAGCCGAAACCTCCACATATCGAGCTCGAGCTGGTCCAGCTTGAATTCAACGGAGCCACCGTCCCTCACCACAATCTTGGTCACGCCGGGATGGATTTCCACCGTGTGGGCCCTGACATCGCCGATTCCGTCGGTCTCCGCAACGAAGCGGAAGCAGTCGGCAGCCTCCTCGACAGCCACGTCAGCGTCGGAGCGGAAGGGAAGCTCCAGAACACGGCTGAAGACGTGGGGGAGCCGCCGTAACTTCTTGCCGGCGATGCCCAGAAGGGCCTCAGCCTCAGCCTCGGACATAGGGTTCCGACCATCCATGCCAAATTGGATTTTTATGTTGCGTTTTCTGGGAACAGGATGAACCTTCATCGTGTTGTCTTGGAACGCTGCGGAAGATTGCACCACCAAGATTAACAGAGCGATCAAAGAAACAATCATAAAGCAGCGGTTTTTCTTCTTGTTCTTGTTTTCCCCCTTCTTCTTCTTCTTTTCCCCTTTGGGGTTTCTTAGTTCAAGAAAATGAAAATCATAACCCTAATTTTCAATATGCGCCCGCGACGGTCGAGTTTTCCGAAGAAGATAAAGATTTTGATATTATTATTTTTCCTTTTGGGGAGAAAATTTGGGTGAGATTGGGGAAATTGGAAGTGTAATTGATGAAATGGGCGTGGCGGTGCAGATAAGAAGAGGGTGATTTGGATTTGATGTTACTGTGTTGCCCTCGTGCTTCTTGGAATTTACTAATTCTGTCTCCATCAATTATTAATAACTTTTTTTTTAATAAAAGAAACAAAAACATTGATGGGAAATCTCAAATCACCAATAATTGCGAATTAATAAAAGAGGAATGAATTTTTTTACTTTACTGTATTCCAATTTCCAAGACTTATATTTATAATTTTAAATTAAATTTTAAACGATGGACGTATCATGTGTTTCGTTTAATTGTTTTTTGAAAAATATATATATTAATAAAGAAAAAATAATCTCATTTTTGCTCGATATTATTATCTTATGCACAAGATACAAATTAAATGTGAGAGTCACTTTAAATATTTTCTCTCCTCTCTCTTTCATTTGTGAGGATATGAGATTGGTTTTCTCTTATGTTAAACTAGTGAATTACCCGTGCGATGCCCGGGGGAAAAAGAACAAAATTGTTGTCGCCGTCGTTGGTGTGTCGTCTTACTGGTAAATCCACACGTTGATCTTGATATGAACCTCTTAATAATAATATCATAATAAAAAATAATTGTATTAACTTGAAAAGGCGGTAGCATTCAGAAAGATAAAAAAGTAAAATAAAATTTTGTAGGATGAAACGTTTAATTGTATCGAGTAACCTTCACGTCCAACTGCAAAAGTTTAAAAGAAAAAATACCGCTTTTATTGGCATTTATTAATTTGTTTAAAAATTTAAAAGTCCAACGCACTAATTCGAAATTCAGGGGAGCATTAAAAATAACTTCAAACGAAACGTTTAATGAGTCACTTACCTTCACATTGGAATTGGTCATCTCATCTAATGAGTCAGCTGATTTAAAATTTTGAATTTTGAAATGGAATCACTCACCTGTTTTAATGATTCAGCTATTTTTACATTGAAATTATTAAATATTTTAAAATACGAAAAAAATGGAAAATTAATTTTTTATTCAATTAAGTTGTGGTGTAAAATTTTGAATTTTGAAATGGAATGACTCACCTGTTTTAATGACTCAGCTGTTTTTATATTGGAATTATTAAATATTTTAGATAATTGAAAATACGAAAAAAAATAGAAAATTAATTTTTTATTCAATTAATTTTTTTGATTTTTCTTTTAAAAATCGAAATTCAATTTAAATTTCTAATAATTTAAAACAAATGTGGTGGCAGCCAAAACATTTAATGCGCCACTTACCTTCACATTGGAATTGGTCATCTCATTTAATGAGTGAGCTGATTTAAAATTTTGAAATATAATCACTCACCTATTTTAATGACTCAGTTATTTTTACATTGAAATTATTAAATATTTTAAAATACGAAAAAAAAAACAGAAAATTAATTTTTTATTCAATTAATTTTTTCGATTTTTCTTTTAAAAATCGAAAATTAATTTTAATTTCTAATAATTTAAAACAAATGTGGTGGCAAACAAATCATTTAACGCGCCGCATACCTTCACATTGGAATTGGTCATCTCATTTAATGAGTCAGCTGATTTAAAATTTCCAATAATTTAAAACAAATGAGGTGGCAGACAAAGCATTTAATGCGCCACTTACCTTCACATTGGAATTGGTCATCTCATCTAATGAGTCAGCTGATTTAAAATTTTGAATTTTGAAATATAATCACTCACCTATTTTAATCACTCAGCTATTTTTACATTGGAATTATTAAATATATTTAAATACGAAAAAAAAACGAAAAATTAATTTTTTATTCAATTAATGTTTTCGATTTTTCTTTTAAAAATCGAAAATCAATTTTAATTTCTAATAATTTAAAACAAATGTGGTGGCAGACAAATCATTTAATGCGCCGCATACCTTTACATTGGAATTGGTCATCTAATTTAATGAGTCAGCTGATTCAAAATTTCTAATAATTTAAAACAAATGAGATGACAGACAAAGCATTTAATGCGCCACTTACCTTCACATTGGAATTGGTCATCTCATCTAATGAGTCAGCTGATTTAAAATTTTGAATTTTGAAATATAATCACTCACCTATTTTTAATCACTCACCTATTTTAATGACTTAGCTATTTTTACATTGGAATTATTAAATATTTTAATATACAAAAAAAACGAAAAAATTAATTTTTTATTCAATTAATGTTTTCGATTTTTCTTTTAAAAATCAAAAATCAATTTTAATTTCTAATAATTTAAAACAAATGTGGTGGCAGACAAATCATTTAATGCGCCGCATACCTTCACATTGGAATTGCTCATCTAATTTAACGAGTCAGCTGATTTAAAATTTCTAATAATTTAAAACAAATGAGGTGGTAGACAAAACATTTAATGCGCCACTTACCTTCACATTGGAATTGGTCATCTCATCTAATGAGTCAGCTGATTTTAAATTTTGAATTTTGAAATGGAATCACTCACTTGTTTTAATGACTCACCTATTTTTAATCACTCACCTATTTTAATGACTTAGCTATTTTTACATTGGAATTATTAAATATTTTAATATACAAAAAAAACGAAAAAATTAATTTTTTATTCAATTAATGTTTTCGATTTTTCTTTTAAAAATCAAAAATCAATTTTAATTTCTAATAATTTAAAACAAATGTGGTGGCAGACAAATCATTTAATGCGCCGCATACCTTCACATTGGAATTGCTCATCTAATTTAACGAGTCAGCTGATTTAAAATTTCTAATAATTTAAAACAAATGAGGTGGTAGACAAAACATTTAATGCGCCACTTACCTTCACATTGGAATTGGTCATCTCATCTAATGAGTCAGCTGATTTTAAATTTTGAATTTTGAAATGGAATCACTCACTTGTTTTAATGACTCAGCTATTTTTACATTGAAATTATTAAATATTTTAAAATACAAAAATAAAAAGACAATTAATTTTTTATTCAATTAATTTTTTCGATTTTTTTTAAAAAATCAAAAATCAATTTTAATTTCTAATAATTTAAAACAAATGTGGCGGCAGACAAAACATTTAATGTGCCACTTACCTTCATATTGAAATTGGTCATCTCATTTAATGAGTCAGCTGATTTAAAATTTCTAATAATTTAAAACAAATGAGGTGACAGACAAAACATTTAATGTGTCACTTACCTTCACAATGGAATTGGTCATCTCATCTAATGAGTTAGCTGATTTAAACTTTTGAATTTTGAAAGGAAATCACTCACCTGTTTTAATGACAGCTGTTTTTACATTGGAATTATAAATATTTTAAAATACAAAAAAAAAACGGACAATTAATTTTTTATTCAATTAATTTTTTTGATTTTTCTTATAAAAATCGGAAATCAATTTTAATTTCTAATAATTTAAAATAAATGTGGTGGCAGACAAAGCATGTAATGTGCCACTTACCTTCACATTGAAATTGATCATCTCATTTAATGAGTCAACTGATTTAAAATTTCTAATAATTTAAAACAAATGAGGTGGCAGACAAAACATTTAATGCGCCACTTACATTCACATTGGAATTTGTCATCTCATCTAATGAGTCAGCTGATTTAAAATTTTGAATTTTGAAATGGAATCACTCACCTGTTTTAATGATTCAGCTGTTTTTACATTGGAATTATTAAATATTTTAAATATTTTAAAATACGAAAAAAAACGGAAAATTAATTTTTTATTCAATTAACTTGTGGTGTAAAATTTTGAATTTTGAAATGGAATGACTCATCTGTTTTAATGACTCAGCTGTTTTTACATTGGAATTATTAAATATTTTAAATATTATAAAATACGGAAAAAAACGAAAAAGTAATTTTTTTTTTTTTGATAACATGAAAATTAATTTTTATTCAATTAATTTTTTCGATTTATCTTTTAAAAATCGGAAATCAATTTTAATTTCTAATAATTTAAAACAAATGTTGTGGCAGACAAATCATTTAATGTGCCGCATACCTTCACATTGAAATTGGTCATCTCATTTAATGAGTCAGCTGATTTAAAATTTCTAATAATTTCAGACAAATGAGGTGGTAGACAAAACATTTAATGAGCCACTTACCTTCACATTGGAATTGGTCATCTCATCTAATGAGTCAGCTGACACTCACCTGTTTTAATGTTTAAGCTGTTTTTACATTGGAATTATTAAATATTTTAAATATTATAAATTAATTTTTTATTCAATTACTTTTATGTTTTTTTTTTTGCAAACTTTGGTAAAAATGAAGAAGCGAAGTTGATATCAAAATATTAAAAAACAAATATTAAGGCCTTGGTACACTGTCAAAGTTCAAAACATGATAATAGGCCACAGAATAAGAAAAATGTCAATAGCTCCTCGTTACAAAAAATCGACCAATCTACCGCTTTTATTGGCATTTATTAATTTGTTTAAAAATTTAAAAGTCCAACACACTAATTCGAAATTCAGGGGAGCATTAAAAATAACTTCAAACGAAACGTCAAGCAATTACTAATAATGAAATTAATTGTTAACAATTGGTATAATGGGAAATTTCAAATGACATCCCTAAAATTGAAACACGTCGTACTAAAGCTGATAACAAAATATTAAAAGAAATATTTTTTGCAAACTTTGTTAAAAATGAAGAAGCGAAGTTGATATCAAAATATTAAAAAACAAATATTAAGGCCTTGGTACACTGTCAAAGTTCAACACATTATAATAGGCAACAGAATAAGGGAAATGTCAATAGCTCCTCGTTACAAAAAATCAACCAAAGCATAGTTACAAATTTTCTTTCTGCTCCAAAGTGTCACCGGCTGCAGCATCAAAACTGTGCCAAAATAAATAAAAAGGCACACAGAGTGGGAGGGATGAAATTATAAATCAAGTAAACTTTATAATATCTATAGTCAGAACTTAACTCTTTCTCCAGCTTTATTTTTTTAAGAGGACGGACAACTGAACAATTATTTTTATCTTCAACAACATCACCATACTTCACAGACGGTGACAAAAAAGTGAGAGAAATATTAGCATCATCAGTACTATCACAGGTTTGGCTTTGAACATCCTGTCAACAAAATGACTCTGACCGCTATTAATATAAGGATACGGCAATCAAATTTTCCAATTATGTCAATAATACCAACTCACCACAGCTTTTCCTGACCCTATCGACATAATATTATCATCAGAAGGACTGTCAAATACAGAATCATCCTGAAATGTTTTTTTCCATAAATGCAAAAAAGTCATAACTTTGAAAAGTATAGGTTATGAATAATAATAATAAAAAAAAAACATTTGGGTCCACCGTGGTCTTCAGAAATGATGTGATAATACTTTCACTGATGCAAACTTTGGCCACATGATATTTTGGCTCACTGTTTGAGTTCAAATTGCTAATTTTGACATTCACTTTAAACAACATAGATCTATCTTTAAGAACGTTCAACTCTTCCGGATAATGTTCTAAATCTGCACCCTACAAAAAAGGAAACACAACAAAAGAAGTACTAAGGGTGTTAAAAGTTTTGAGAACCTCACTAATAAAAAAATTCAAAGTTTTGAGAACCAAACCCGCTTAAAATGTTGCTCGCGCAATTCAGCAGCACTCACTCCTAATAAAGAAAGACAGTCTCTATCAAATAGTACGAAAGAAGTAGAATCTGTGTTATCAACAACTCTGACTTCAACACTGAACCTAAAAAAATAAAAAATTGAATTTTACATCAGTCACACAGTGTGCATGAATAATTTTTCGATAACAATGGCAAATCAAAAAATGGCTTACTTCGAAGTATATTCATTCTAATGTTTCTGACAGTTCTTACAATACCATTTCTCAAAATCTTCGCACACTGAATATGGACATTTCTTACAGGACTTGTACCACCAGTTGTATTTACTTTCGATGGATTTTATAGTTCCATAAGTAATGCAAGTAGTAGCATCTATGCAATTCTTAATATCAGTAAGAAATTTCCTCTCTGTATCCTTGAGAAAATCATTTTCATAAGAATATGAAGATGGGCTGGACAACTGAGTCAACATCTGACTACTTTCCATCAGATCACCGGAAATCCTGGAATATAAAAATATATAAAAGAATGAGTGAATAGAGCAAAAGAAATGCCTCATAATTTCTCACGGTAGCCCACCTTTTTTTGAACTCTACGATCTCAGGTATATTGGAATCAAAAATAATTTTCGTCGTATACTTTGTATTAGCTATTCCAATCTTTCTTGGAAAAAAAAATGCTACGTAAATAAAAGAAAAAAAATGCTACGTAAATAAAAGAAAAAGTAAAACAACAAAACAAAAAAATAAAAAATGAGAATTTTAATCACAAAAAAAGTACCCCTAAAACCCTTTATCCTTGCAAGCTGAAGTATCATAACATTTTGAGCACTCTGATTCTTTGCTAAGAGAGTTTGGACCTCGTCTACGTATGACTCCCACAAAGTGCATTCAAGTTTCTGACCCCTATCATGATATAGAAACAAAAGACACAAAAGAAATGATGTAAAATCTCATTCTCTTTAAATTCAAAAACACATAAGAAATTACATTAAAATACTATCAGAAATATAGATAACATAAATACCTCAGGTTGTCAAGCTCCACGACAACCATTTTTGTATTCCTACCAGAGATGACATGTTCACGTACTTCCCCAATTCCAGACAGCAAACCAAAGACGTCTACACAACAAATAACATGGGTTTCAGCCTTACGTCCTATATACAAAATCTTAATTGAAAGCGAATAACACAATACACCAATCCCATCACCTATTAAATAAGGAGAGTCAGAGGATTCTTTCTCAATAACGTCAAACTTAGCAAAATCAAAACCACGCTCAGGAATCGTAGCATCAACAATGGATTTCACGCCCGTCCTCAAGTTGAAAGACAGACGATATTCATGCCGTGTTGGCCTAAAATTACCCATATTCAACCCAATTCCAAAAAATTTTATAAAATAAGCATCACCCTCACAAATTTTCTTCTGAACCTGCAAAGTACCTTTGGCCGTAGCATGGATCCTTCCACCCTATAAAATGAAAACACGCAACAAAGCAAAAAAAAAAAAAAAAAACCGACAATGAGCTACTGAAAAGATAAAAACATTGAAAAAAAAGAAAAAATACATTACCCGTTCGTCGACCAAAACCATATCCACATTGTCATCAAAATCTTTTTGATTAAAACTGGGAACCTTCCAACACCTAACTACACGCACTTTAATCCTCCACTCTTCTTTCGTCGGATTAAGATCCTTTACGAAGTCGTATTTTGAGGACATTGAATACATTGGAGGAGTAGAGAAATGGACCAAAGAAGATACAAAATGCTCGTGGCAGTGATGCAGACCAAAAGGCCAAAACAACACCAAATATCGTCTTTATACATGCAATGAATACATAATGAGTCAGCTGATTATGATCTTAATTAACTCCCAAAAATACCTAATGAGTCAGCTGATTTAAAATTTTGAATTTTGAAATGAAATCACTCACCTGTTTTAATGATTCAGCTATTTTTACATTAAAACAGAAAGAATACTCTAGTGTGAACAGAAATTCAAACATACATATTTTGTTCACTATATCGAAAAGAAGTAAGTTTTCAAGACATCCTCTAGTGTGAACAGAAAGCTGAGATTTAAGGAGAATGCGACACCTCAGCTAATATATCTATTCTTTGTCATCTAATGAGCATTTGAAATTTATCTCAAGAGAAAAAATGTCTTCAATCCTTCGAGCATTTATTATAACTGAAGCAACTTTGAGCATTTATTATAACTGAAGCAGGGAAAGAAATAAACGATCTTATTTTCCAGTGCCCTTCTCTCCGTTACCATTGGCTACAATCAATTATGATTTTAGCTACTGTTTTTCTATTATTGAGTGAACATAAATTGAGATGTTCATGGCTTTGGGCTATATTTTCAGGAGCAAGCAAGTATTAGTCGGAGTTTTGGCAGCAATATTCATCCGTCTAGCCAGTCAAGGAAAATTTCTATAGGAATTATGGCAGATTCAAAAGCGAGCACAAGATGTGGAGCCACGAAAGGGGACATGGCTGTCATTCCTAATACAGAAAGGGTAATCTCTAATGTGGGAAATTTCATTGGAGAAAAAAACAAAGTTGAAGGAGTGACAACTTCCTTTAATACAAAGCAAATTGAGGGTCCAGAAGCGGTGAAGTTTTCTTGGATCTCAAACTCTGTTTACAAAAGAACACCCACTTCTGAGACCATTCTTCAAGCCAACCAAGCCTCTACTTTCCTCGTCTCTCCTGGGGGGCTGGATAATCCTGATGGAATAGAGTGTGCAGCTGGAAAAAATTTGGTTCAGCTTTTCTCATATCAGACTTCAAATTTTCCTTCGAATAATTACAATAAATTTTCCTTCAAATTCGGTTCAGTAAAGACCCTAGTTTTGAGATACCCATCCACGACGTCGTCCTTCATATCCTCCTGACCTTCAGCATGTCACTTAACGTGACACATCATCACGATCATTCACACAGTCACTTTTGAATTTACAGAAGGACTAACGTGGATCCTGTTTCATACTGTTGGGGACTATCCAAAGAGTTTATTTTTGTGAGGGACTAATTTGGCCACCGCATTTTTTGTCAGGGACCAATATGAGTCTTTACTCATAATAATATAAAGTGTAAATAAAAATTAGAACATTAACATTCACACGGATTTATTTTATTTTTTTATACATAGGAGTTGAACACACAACTTATTATAAAATTACCCATATCCTTTACCGCTAGGTTAAGCTGGTAAAGATATATCTCATTACTTTTCGGTCAATTGGTAATGATATATCATAATTTTTTTTGAGTTTTCTAACCAACCTTAATAATTTTCTTATTTGCTAAAAGAAATAATTTATTTTAAAGATATTTCCTATTTTTATTTTAAGGAAAATTATTTTTCCAGTTACCGGAGATAAACTTATCTCCAGTTAGCTCAAAACGACGTCGTTTTGAGATTATAAGATTAAAAGATTATAATGATAAAGACTAATATAATTTTGCAATATATTATAATTACAAAAACACCTTGATTTTTGCCCCAAAACGACGTTGTTTTGAGCTCACTGGAGATAACTTTATCTCCGGTGACCGGAGAAATCTTTTACCCTTTGTTTTAACTTATTTTTTATTGTAAATAATAATAATAAACGACCGAAAAGATTCATTAATTAGAAGGATATGATATTTTTGTTTACATATTGCATTTTAGTTTGAAGATAATTAAATTTAAATACAACTTATATCCCTTTATGAGAAACTTGAGTAATTAACACTATTTAAAAAATATTTTAATTGAACAAACTGAAATTACAAAATAATAATTAAATTTAAGATTTTGTTAACATGCATCTTTAAGGAATTAAAAATATAAATTATTAAATAAATAACGAAAATATTAATATCCTAAAAATTTAGCTTTTTTAATATTTTTATTTTTAAGCAATTAAGATTAATTATATATATTAGTACTATTCTTCAACCTATATCCTCAAAGAATACGTTAACAAAAAAAAATTAAATTTATAATTGATTTCCATGTTCTTAATAAAATTATTATTGTCAATATGATACATCTGATTTATTGTTTTCATAATAATATAATAATGCTTTAAATGCTTCTAATATTTATAGGTCTCATTTGATAAATAAGTTGAAATACTAAATATAAAATGCTTTTAAAGTGGGGCTAGATAAACTCATTCTTAGTCATTGATTTATTTATGGGTTCGCTTTTATTTTTTTTAGATAATGCAGATAAATTATTTGCAGTAAGTCAATACAACCTTCGTTTTGGAGTGAAAATCATGGTGTTTTTATAATTTTAATTTATTTCAGGGTTATAATAGTCTTTTATATTTATAATTTACTAAGATTTCAATACCAAAACGACGTCATTTTGAGAATAAATGCAGATAACTTATCTGCATTAACTCCAGAAATATTTTTTCCTTTATTTATATATAAAGGCTAACAAATTTAATAAATTAAAATCGTACCAACTATATAATTAATAGTATCAACGATTCAAATTGAGAATATACCTTATATAAAATGATTCTAACCCTTCTAAATTTAGAGCTTAGGTATTAACTATTTGTTAAAGTATCAACTAACCACCCACAAAGATCACTCTGTATAATGCAATGAGAGTCTAAAATATATTTATTTTTTTGAAATATAGTTTAAAATATATGATAATTTTTATTCAACAGATGTTTTTAAGGGTGTAAAATACATGATAATGTTTTTAAAAAATATATTTTCTTTAATTTTAATTTGGAAAATAAAAATTATTAAAAATTATATTTGTGAAAATTAATTTATTTTTATGTTCCAAAAAATGAATCATAGGCTAAAAATAAAAATTGAAAAAATAACTTTTTAAATTTCTTCGTTCCCGAGCACATATTATAAAAATTACTTCTTTCTAAAACAAGGTTAGATAAGAAAATAAGTGTCTTATACAACATAATTTCCCGAAAATCATCTGTTGTAATTTCAAAGGTAAAAAATATCTTGTAATCTCGGAAAAAGAAAAATATTAACCGGCCAATAGAAATTATAGATAATTAGACCTAAAATGGGACAATCTCACATGTCAAAATTGGTTGCACTGTTAGTTATACTCATATTATTCTTATCATTCTTCTACTCCAGTGGCTAAACCATGTATAGAACTCCATGACGGAACCTCAAATATGCATCTTTTATCATTATACTATTTTATTCAAAAGAGATAGAGTAACATAAATATTTTTAATGATGCCAAAAAGTATTTGCTTTACGGCAATTGTTGATAGTATCTCATGATAAAAAAGTTGATCATGTGATAATTAAAAGGAAGTATAATTTTTAGATAAAATTATTTTATGTACACATTTAAAATTGGATAGAATTCACTTATTTTATTTCTCTCTTTTCTTTAGTAGGTTTCATCTATTTTTCTTTATATGAATAATATAATTTTATCTTATATAACATGAAAAATTATATTTTCTAATTAAAAAAATTAAAAATTTCGCACCTGAAAAGATGATTAAAAGAAGGATTGACATGGTAAATAAAAAAAAGGATTTTCATTAATCAAAGTTGTGATTGAGTTGACAACACCCCCCAAAAGAAAAGTTTGCGATAGAGTTCCGAAAAGTTGATAATAACACGTTTGTGTGTATGAGTCGTCGGTATACGTATTAAATCAAACTCAAAGAAGGTGCCTAAAAAATTAATTTAATGTTTTTTAATAAAATAATTACGTATTTATTATAAGTTTAAAAATAATTACAGATCTACTGCACTATGTGACGTACTTCGGTCTGGTCTTGAGAAAGACGGAGAAAGAAATTACCAGATCCTTCCCAGAAAAAATAAAAATGAAGACGACGTTTTCTTTCGTGCTGTGGTCTGGTCTTGCTGCTCCTTCAGTTAGTACGTTCATTATAGCGTGTGGTAGGGTAAGGGTACCCTCATCATAGTCATTGGGAAATAGACAGAACCTACCTTCCATTCTCATGCGATGCAAGCGCCAGACAGAGACTCTCGTGCATAAACTTTTTCTCAATAATACAAAGGGGATTAAAAAAAAAAAAAAAAAAAAACGAAGGAACGAGATCGTTGGCTAAGAAACTGTTTAATCTTCTTTTTCCTCAATACCTCATTCATCCTTCTTTAATTATTATTATTATTTTTTATTAAATAATTGAAGCCACTCGCGCCTTTTTCATGAAAAAGGTAAAGGTAATCGCTTGGAAATTCAATACCTGAATATATTGTAGCTATCAATTTTTGGGGAGAATATTGTAATCAAAATGAACTTCTATTTTGAAGTTATATATGTTTAGGCATTTATCTATATCAGGAGAGGTATAAAACCCATGTTTAAATATCCTTTTCGGCATTTATCTTCATATTTTAGTATAATACATTTGTATTAAGTATTCGAATTGATTGACCAGACTGATCCGTATTGACACATAATCTGGTGCGTGTGTCACATTACAAAAGTTGTGCAAACATCTCAATTAACAGAGCTTTTGAACTCATTCCTACAGAGTGGTCATTGTCAGTATCACTGAATAAGTTCAATGCATGGCCAGAATACGGCCTCATCGTTGTTGGCCTTGTCACTCCGAAAACTCAATTTTATGTGGAGATTGGGCTACCAGCAGAATCACCGGAGGGGCCACAATACCACTCTGATTAGGAGCGAAGTTAGTGTGCTCCACGAGTAAAAGAAATTTGGTGGGATTG